TGGTTATTTCGCCCCTTGCACATTCTTGCCTTTTACTCATTATTATATCCTATTATTTAGGTCTGGAATGCATTATGCAATACTATTTATATTTCTTACGTTTAGTATAAATTCAGGTCATTCTGTAAACCTACTAGGACTTTTAGTTTTTAGTTTTTATGTAAATACATTCCACCTGAAGAAGGCAGAAGGCCGAAACGTCGGCACATTAAAGCTGGAACAGTTAGAAGTTTGCTTCATGTTTCATTGTTTTACACTTAATATTTTCATTGAAGCACTGTATCCTCCTCAGATCCTTCTACTGGGAGCTCATCATTTGGTTTACCTTTTTATTCTGTTTATATATATATATTCTCTACCGCAACACACTCAAACTTAGCTATAGCTGCATGAACAATGTAAAAGCCAGTATCTCTAACCACAATAAAGTCGTCATTAACATGTCATCTAACTCGCCCGTTCAAGCTATCAACACTTGCAGTTGCCATGACAAAGGTTCCTGCTACGGAAAGCGCAACGAGCAGAGTATCATCTATCAAGCAGAAGTCACAACAACGTACTCAAAGCAAACTTACATTGGTCTTTGCGACAAATCATTCAAATCCCGTCACAGAAACCATACATGTTCCTTCAGAAATGAACAGTACAGAAATTCCACTGAACTTAGTAAATATGTATGGGACTTGAAAGACAAGATTGTCGACCACCAAATTAGATAGCGGATTGTTAGGCATGCAAGATCGTATTCAAATGTAACGAAAAAGTTCAATTTATGTCTGTGGGAGAAATACTATATAATTTGTAGACCGAACATGGCGACCCTGAACAACAGAAATGAACTTATATCGAGTTGCAGACATGCAAAGAGATTCCTTTTAAATAGCGTGATTGTTTCAGCTTCTAAAATCTATTTTTGGCAATTCATTTTTGGCAGTTTACTGTATGTTGTTTAACCCGCGTTACGATTAGCTTTTTCCGAAACAACTTAAGCCTATCAAATTTATTTTTAACAGTTTACTGTACATTGTTTTACCGTTGCTATATACCTCAGCCAATTGTGAATTACAACAGTTTTTTCAAAATCACTATATAATGCACCATCTATTCTTTCTTTTTGGCAGTAGCCTTATGATTGTCTTGCAAAAGGCATGAAACTCAGAGTAGCAAATAAATGGTTTTGACCTGATTCAAATAGTTACAAGTTTCAAAATGTAACAATTCGATTGCTTGATGATGAAACGTTCCTTATACCAACAAAGACACCATCGTTACTAAAATTCCCAACTTACCTGATGTCACCTTGGAAACAAAAGAATTCGAAGACAACTGATTGCCACCATAGTTATGAAAAATGCGGACACTGTTGAACTGTCGAACTTCTCCTGTTTCAACGATGGTATCGAAAGTTTCTTGAAACCATCAGATGTAAAACGTCGGTCGATGAAATCGAATTACAAGAGCTTCAAATGTTATTTTTGAAATGTGGCTCCCAAAAAAAATTATTATTGATCATTCCTCACGCGTAATTTCTCAGCCTCTTCTTTGATTTATCTATAATTATGAGTTCTTGTTTTTATAACGTTATTACACTGTTGCATTAATTACGAACACTGACTTTAACAATGTAATTGAAACCTTATCGTTTTAATTGTAAATGTTATACCTATTTCAAAACGTTATCATATTGTTGGATTATAAGTTCTTATTTTTTAGACCGTTATTATATTGTTGACACATTATTATATCATCATACTCTTGACACTGGTGAGATGTCCAATTTCAGGTGCTTTAACAATGGAATCGAAACCTTGTTTTTTATCTTTTCATGAAAAATTGTCTACCTATATTTCACAACGTTATTATACAACTGTTATATTGTTGGATTATGAGTTCTTGTTCCTATAACGTTATTATATTGTTGACGGTTATTATTATATTCTGATATTGTTGACATCAGTGAAATGTCCAATTTCAAGTGTTTTAACGATGAAATTGAAACCTTGTTTTTTATCGTTTTCATTAAAACGTTATACCTATTTCAAAACGTTATTATATTGTTGGAAATAAGTACTGTTTATAAAGTTGTACTTTGCACATTTTTCAGACGATTCAAAACAGGAATCCCACTCCAACAAAAAGTTTATATTACTGATAACAGCTTCAATGGCATTCTTCAGTTGGTTGAAATAAGAAATTCTATTACTTACATGAAAATTTATTCATCTTCACCCACTTTTACACTGCACTAGCCGTATACAGGTTTTGACTGCTTTTATTCCTTTCATTTTTAATTGAAAGGAGACCTAAATCATGATTTGCGAATCTCTGATTATTTAAGTGTCCCTGTCTGAGAAAGTGTTCCAGGAGCCAAAAGTGGTGGACAACCGATTTAGCTGAAACTTGGCACAAAAGTTGAGTGTGACAACATGTTTCAAAAGCCACTTTGGCTCACTTCTCTTACTGTTTGGTCTGGAATTTTGGGGGGGGGGGGTCCCATTTGTTGCTTATGGAGCACCAAACACTCATCCTTCTGGGTGGCATTTTAAAAGTGTTATAAAACTCCATTGGTAAATTGTGCCATGAATTTGACCATGGACTCTATTATAGTGGAGCTTTTACTTCGTAAATGTAACTTTGATCTCAAGGGAATAGACAGAGAGGGGTCTGGGGTTAAATTTAGGTCAAATTAGAGATAAAAATGACTACCCAAAATTGCCATTTTTCAAAATACCATAACATTCACCTGCATTCCTGCATAACTTTCATACCAAATCCAATATGTACTTTAGTGACCCATCTATCAAAATCAGTTGAGAAAAATTTGGCTTAGTGAGCCGTTTGTTAAGGTTTTGGCACAAACTCTCCACTCCCCTCTAAGGCCAAGCAAAATGGAATTTTGAGAATAATTCGTGCTATAAACAGACCAAAGTCTTGACATAAAGCCTTTATTTGTATTTGGTGAGTGAAAATGAAACATTAAAGCTAAATCAATGTCATTATCCAGAAATACCTCGACTCGTAGCTTAGAATTACTCTAAGAAGGCCTCTGATTAGCACTGCAAACGCACAGCGGTTTAGCAAATAAAGGTAGTCTTTTTTTCTTTGAAAACCTTGTACCCATCATAGTGCACAAATGATGATGTTCTGACCTAGATATGACAATACATTTAAAGATGCTTGAATTTCCTCTGATTTATATTTTTCAGGTCATACTTTCATACATACTATACGCACTGTGAGAGCACGAGTTTGGCATTCACAGCATATGAATGATTCTTTAGTGAACATTTGGGTCATTTCCGAAAACGATGGGACTATTTTGTCAGCCCATTGCTTGGGATGCAAAGCAGGACTGGCTGAGTCATGCTCACATATCGCGAGTGTTTTATTTTATGTTAGAGGCGTCTACTCGAATTCGTTGCAAGCTCGCTGGGTGTCACGAAAACTCAGACACCGAAAACTCAGATCCCTCGAAGTGTTCTCCAAGCTTCCGAAGTGCTCCATAATTCGATAGTGCATAGCATAAAGCATGAACCAATTGTTTTATAACATAACCGGTGGAATAATGCAACAAATCCGACGCGAAAGACGGACAACAATATCAAGAGTGATTCTTCAGTGAAGCGAATCGTGACGGCGCTGATGCCGAGTCTTCTTTCCCGTTGTTTTTCTCTTTCTGCCTCATTTAAGAACTCTAGCCCAAGGGTCGCAAAATTGTCTTCGTTTTGGGACTGGTGGGCCGAGTCTCTGTTTGTATCCATTATTATCGCGAAATATTTAAGAATTTTAACAGAGCGACAACAAGGATCTGTGCGACGAAGTACAAAAAAGTAAACAAATGTCCCTTTCGGCTCGTCAACATCACGCCACATTTTAATACTTTGGTGTTGGAGCGAGCGCATTTGATCCAGTTAACTGTGAATGAAAAGCTCAAAATTAACGGGAAAAATGGAGGAAATCTAAGCAAAATGAAGTCTTGTGTCACTCTAAAATGTTTTAATGCTCAACCATNGGAGACCACATCTCCGATCACGTAAATCACATCTTCGATTGCCGTGTTGCCAGCATGGTTGTCTGATAGTGTAGTGGTCATCACACCTGACTAGTAACAGGGGGACGTGGGTTCAAATCCTGCTCAGGGCAAATTTTCTTTTCAAATATTAATATACATTGTAGTATATATATTTTATATTTTATGTAGGGAGCGTCCTTGATAGGGATAACCTCCGATGCTTCCTTTTATGTATGGACAAAATAAAATTGATTGATTTTATTTTATGATTTTTATTTTAGTGAGTTATGGATGCACTTGGGAGGTTTGCTAAGTACTCAACTAGAGTCACTCTTGGCAATCACCTCGTGCGAATCTTATGCTTCTTTAGTGCTTAGCAATCTTCCGTGTGTATCCACAACTCAATAGTGTACACTGTGGTGTTTACCATTTGTTAATTAATCAAGAGTGTACTGTGAATGTCACCATCTGGCAAAGAATAATCTCAGGCCTGTTAATCCTTTGAGCCCTTAGGATGATTAGCATCTAACTTCTCCTTACAATATCAGCCCTGAATCACACATTAGGGTCACAAGAATAATGGAAATGATCACCAACTGGCCAAGCTCTTGATTGTTAAACAGATTCTCTTTGTCAGCTCCTTAGGAAATGTATGGTGAAGAGTATTGAGAATATGCATACTGATGTTAGGGTGTAAAGGAAAAAGTAAGGGTCAAGTTGGCATGTTAGTTTTAATAAAGGGACAGAAACAAGTGGATCTATGGAAATTCTGTGATACAAGGATATGGTATTCAACAATTAACCAGATCTATGGCAGTTATTACTGGAAACAAACTTGCACATGGAAGGAGACAGTTCTTACTGCCATCATGGTACCATGGTCAACTTGATGCCGGGTACCCCTGTGACTCTAGAAGAGGAGTTTTGTGTTTTTGGAACAGAAAAAATTAGCCATGAAGGTCTCATATCACTGGTAATAGATAATCACCTGAAAATCATTTCCTAGCTGATATGTTTTAATGCCATAGTTGTATGTCAATTCAACAACAAAATGATCATCTTCTGGTCCAAAGCCAGTCATTGTTTTACTCCACTTTCCATCATAGGGTCTGGAAAAGATTAGAATGTCAATTATTTTTTTGTTGTAAATGAGTGGTTGCTGACCTGAACTTTCTAAAGAATCATCAATCAACATCACAAACTTACATAATTTTTATCCAACAGAAATTCCCACAGTCTAATTAAATCAAAGGTAAAAAATCTAACAATATGGATAATCTTGATAAATAAAGTGATTCATGCAAATACCCATTACATGAGGCTTTACATCCTTCTTCAAATTCTTCATGCCTCAAAACCTGTCAAGCAAACAGATTATTTAATGCCTACCTCAGCTTAGTGACTGTGGAGGGGTGGGAGAGGGAGGTGAGAGCTTAAAAGAAGAGAAGAAACAGAGGGAAACTGGAACTTGGTGAGAATGAGAAAGGAGAGAGACTGCAAAACATTTTTCCATAATGAAGGGTGGGAGATGACAGGAAGGGGATGAAGGGGGGGGGGGAAGAAAATGATGGTATAGGAATGTGGTGAGTCTGCCCTTACCTCTATTTCTCAGCCATGAGACAAAGTTGCATGAAAGAAGGAAAGAAGCATCACAAAAGGAATAAAAACACAAAGGAAAGAAGAAATGGTATGCGATGTCATTCGAGCTTAATCAATTACAGTGGAACCCCCCTAAACTGGACCCTCATTAAACTGGAATCCTCTCTTTACCGGGCCTTTTTTTTGGCTCCAAAATCTCTGTAATACATTTCTTCTATCTTTAACCTCAGTAAACCAGAACCCCTCAGTTCTGGAAACCAGATGCTTTTTTAAGTCCGTAATCACATACTGACAAAGAAATTGACCTCGTTAAACCCGATGTGAATGTTTTAAGCTTTCCACCAAAATCAAATCGCACATTTTTAAACATGATTGAAATTAAAATTCCAATAATGCAGCTGTGAAATCCCAATCAGAAGTGAGAACTACGCATGGGCTCATTACTCACTGCTCTATCGTTACTAAAGCAAAAAATCTGAAGTCGACAATCCTGCTGCTGTTGTTGGGTTGAATGAATGACACAATAGGGCTCAGGTTAATAGACTGTCATGTTGCAGGTGAAATCACTTGGGAAAACAAATGAAGTAGCAAACATCACTATGTCTGAGAGACCAGCGAAACACCAAAGAATTGAGTTATCGTTAGAGAAGACAATTGAGTTGATCAAATGCGCGGAATCAGTGCCTAAACTAACACTAAAGGCTCTAAGTGGTAAATTTGGGATTCGTAAATCAACTGTAGGTGATATTTTGAAGAAAGAAGTCCACAAGGCTGAGTATGGAAAAAATAGCAACCCCAACAAGAAGTGTATCAACAATTCTTGCAAATTTGATAAACTGAATGAACTTGTGTAGCAGTGGTTTTGCTGTGCACGGGCCAAGAACATACTGATTTCACGTCCAATTATCCAAGAAAAAGCCATAGTATTTGCAAAAGAACTTGACATTACTGACTTTTAAAAGTTCAAATGGCCGGCTTAACCAGTGGAAGGAACAATACTCAATCAAAGGCTTTAAAGTAAGTGGTGAAAGCAATGGAGTACTCGTGTACCAGGTAGTGGTACTTAGAGTCAAACAATACATTATGCGGCATAAAATTGCTTTATGGGTAAAACCTCAGTACACCGGACACCCCTCTAAACCAGACATTTCTTCTGGTCCCAAGGGTGTCCAGTTTAGTGGGATTCCACTGTACCGGTAAATTGAAATTAAATCCAGGCTGAGCAAGTAAAGTAAAGATTATAAAGTCAAATGGCATTAAGTCAATACAAAATTCTTGTGAAGCCTGCAGTTTCATTTTCACGGTAATAATAATCATTACAATTTCCTCAGATGTGTTTGGTGATTAAGCTGCTTTTTTTTCACTTATCATTCACTAAATAGTAGAGTTGTAATTGGACCCTGTAATAGGACAGTTGGCTATACTCTGACCCCTGTAAAGGAACAGTTAAAGCAGCCAATCATACTAACTTCACTCAGCTAAATCTACCTATCATATAACCATAGCAACAACCACTTATCCTTAAAAACTGGGGAACTTTCAAACTGGAGGAATTTTTACTTTAGACATAATTTCCCTTACTGTTTTTTTTTTCGGAAATTGTAATCGGGTTATGATAAATGGGAAAAGAACATCGTGTTGTCCAATTTGGTTTGTAATCATACTCGTGATTAATAAATCGTATTAACAGCGAGGGAGAAGTCCAATTTGTCAATCACGAGTATGATTACTGACCGAACTGCACTCGACTCGGCCCATTACCATTACAAATAGGCTCGATTTAGAAATGAAAAAGCAGCAATTCTTATATAAAATTCAATCAATTCCATTTTAAATCTGTGGTTAAAAAAAATTACGTAATATTTCGAGGAGACGTACCGGTAAGGAAAAAATGTAATATCTGTTGTCTTTTAATTAACAGAGATTCGAATATTTCGATAATTAGATAAAACAACTTATTTGAATTACGTACTAAATACATACTTCTAAGTAACAGGACTATCACGTTATTACGAAGTTATCAAATGTTCAAACCGTATCCTTGGTAGATAAAGCAAATTCTAGTTTAAAGGTTTAAATTGTAGGTAGGGACCAGAACTGGTTCGACGGTAGCCGAAGACAATGCAAGTAAAACCAAACTCACAAGCAAATTGCTTTTTTGTTTGATCACCTGTTAATCACGCATTACCTCAACATATACTCAACTGTGCCCGCGAAGCTACCCATACGATTTGAGGAACTTTCGTGATTTAAAATCAGGATGAAAAGCCTTTAAGAAATGATACTAACCTTCATACCCAGAATATCACGATAGAATTTCATCGTTTCGTTTCTGTTGGCAATTTTAAAGACAAAATGCAAAGCCCGTCGAAGAGACATCTTCATTGAAATTGTAGCGTGACTTTTGTGGATCCCAAGGGGCTATAGGAGACAGAGAGAGACTGGTAGCCAGTTCGTGACGGGTGTTACTAAAACGAGGATCCGCTGGTTCCACAAGTTCCAAGGTCTGCTGACCCAAAATTTAGTAAGACCCGATTGAGACCTAGTCTTGGTAGAAACGATTTTTTTATTCTACGCTACAAGTTAAGAGGATTATCTTGTGTTTTACTACTTGGGCTGCTCTAAGGGTGGTACCCGGACATTTCGCCGACAACCAACCCGCTGACACCTTTGGTCGACTCGCCAATAACAGTCACTTTGAATTTGCCGACATCATCGATCACCTCTCCAATGTAACTAAAAAACACCTTTGTCAATGTGATAAATAAAACCTTTTTCTTTTCAATTTTACGCTTAAATAACTAAATCTGAGATTAATATTCAGACAAAGTGAATTCAGTAACTTCTTTAAACGAATAGCAAATCATGAACAAAGATACCGCGCGTCTCTTCGAATAAGCGCTCTCCACTGAAGAAGCTCCAAACCCTACGTCAGAGTAATATTGTCAAACGAGCACAGCCCCTCTCTTATAAGTGTCCCCCCTCACCTCCCCTCCTTCCAAATTTTCTTAAATAGTATGGATACAAAAAGTTTCTCTTGCCACTTTATTTGAGAATTTTTAACCTGCTAAACAAAAGTTAAGAAACGTTAGCGTTCACAAGTTTGAGTTCTATTGGGTCGATGTCAGCAATAACATTTTATTTCGAAGTCGGAAGATGATAAATTTCATTAAAAATACAATTCATTTTACCTTCATTTATGTGTAAATGCCTATCATCAGATCAAAAGAATTGTCTCATGTTAACATGGACAGAAAAGAGTTCTCCCACCGTTATGATTAACACTCGATACCTTTTCACTGCAGGTGTTTTGGATCAAAAGATCACTTTTAACACTTATTTTTCTGTCGAATCGAGCAAATATGACGATCGCAAACTGCAGTTCGATGTTAAATTCTTTACGCAAAATGTTCAGTATCCAACATGAGTAAATCGTGAATGCTTGATCCTAGATAAAGGTTTAATGTAGTAAATTCTTTATGCAAAATGTTCAGTATTCAACATGAGTAAATCGTTAATGTTTGATCTTAGATGAAGGTTTAATGTAGATATAACACATACTTTTCAATTCAGGATTTCAAACTCTGATTTTGGACTTACTTTTAACAGCGTGACTCCTTCAACAATGAGGTTAAACCTTACGGGTCTTTTAGAGGGTGATAAAATATTAACCAGCGGAATGATCAAATTAACCACGCTCTAGATTTTGCGAGTCGTTGCTACCTTTTAGTCTATCTATATCAGACACTTTCTTTATCTTTCATTTGGCTTCGGCCTCCTCTTTTTCAATTGGTTTTTGTATATCTTTTCTTGCGGCTTCTTGGCATGACTCCCAAAAGCTGCTCAGAACACCTTCCTTGTCTGCACAGAAGTCTTGCAATTCACCCCTCAGTCTTTCAGCAGCTTCATTATCTCCCGTCGCCGCAGAGCGCCACCTTTTTGTCAACATATAGTTTTGCATCCAGTTAAATCCCCAGGTTCGGCTTGACAGTTGCTCCTTCTCTTTCCTGAGCAGACCACTCGTTACAGGATACTCATCTTCGTCCCAGTTCCGTGGGATTCGGACAAAGGCGACGCCGCTCGTGTGCACGTAGTCCTTCTCGCGACACTGCACGGGAGTCACTTGCATACTCCGCGAACTCACGTGCGTTGAACCATAAGGCTTGTCCCGGATAAAACCAAACCTTGAAAAAAATGAAGTAAAGCTCAAGGGGAGAACAACTACTTGGTCCTCTCCATTTGAAATACACTCTTGAAAGGGTATTCAACCTAGTTAGTCTTTATCTTCATTAGAAATGAGACCTAGTGTCCAAACCCGCCTGAGGTTATCCCAGTTGCATAGTCCACAAATATCCACTTAAAAACACTTATTCCTCGCTTAAATCGAGAATCATTTTCAAGTGTGGGCATAACTCTGGAAGAAGAATATTTATCAAAGAAGGTCCTCACCTTTGAAGGATGGCCTCCAAGAATAAAAACATTCTTCGACTTCGGGTGGAATACTCGAATTCTACGAAAATGATAGTAAATAATTGTCGATAAATTTAGAGTAACTTTAGAGTAGGTTTTGAGTACGTTTAGAATCAACTTAAGGTCAGTTACAAAGATATATAACTATGATAACTTGCCGAGGGGTAAATGGTATCTCCCGCTCAACTTAAGCAGTGTCACATTGTAAGATTTATTTACTTAGCAGAAGCTTGTTTTTAAATCTTTAATCAACAAGTAACTCGTACCTTCAAAGAGGCTGCCAGCGTCTGCAGTTAAGTTGGACAGATTCAGCTGAATGAAAACCGGTAAACGAAAAGGATCCACATTCCTACTTTTCCGATCAGGGAATGGACTTACTGGGACGGGGACAAGATGAAAACCGCAGGACGGCGCCTTCCTTGACCAAGAACTAACCTGAAGACATGCAAGGGAAGCTTATTGAATTGGTTGTTCTTTGATTAATTATAATGGAGAGACCCTTAAACTCCCTAGGTCTGATTGGTAATTCTCTCCTCTAGCTACTAAACATTTCCTTGTAAATTAGGTACAAGAATGTGGTGTTAGATCAAGATAGAAACTTCTCCCAGAAAAGTAAGAGTATACTCATTACCTGTCTGCTGGACAATGCATGGATATTATTGGGAGAACTTACATGGCAATCACTTCTGAGAGTGGAATGCTTAAAAAGAAGCTGGTTCCACCTTTGAAACATGCAAGATTGCATTTGCCTACCATGTCGCTCACGATGCACCCAGTTGCTGCTATCCAATGCAGTTCGAGCTCAAACGCATGAAGAGATGAGAAGTCGCCATGGTAACGAACAGTGCAAGATTCTGGACGTTGGCTCTTGTGGGAAGGATCAGCATTTAACGTGACGAACTTATAAGCAGGACCGCAGCCATGGCCTGGGTAACACAAATAAACAGCCAATTGTCAACTCTGGCACGTTTTTAGCCCAACTAATCTTTAAAGCAAGGAGCTACAAAGGAACCGGTTGTTATTAATCGCCGGAGGGTATCGGAGAATTTTCATTATGTCACGATAAAATTTACCTGGTCCCCCATAAGGCTCTGTAATGTTCTTGTACCCACCCCCCTCCACCTCATTTGCAGTTACTTAGTAGTCCATTTTCTACGGTCCCCTTTATACTCTGTTGGCGACGCAGTGACTGGTCCCTAAATCCTCCTTTTTGAAACTTTCTAACAGATGCAATACGGTATCTATCGGTTGTGGTGAAATCAGTTAGATTTCACTATTCACCATAGTAGGCACGTCTAAATTAAAATTTGTACAAACCGCTTTCCGAATGGAGCTTCCGAACCGACGAACCCGCCAGACTTGAAACGATCTCTAGATCAGGCGCTAAGAATTCTGGGGTCTCCTTCTCAGGTTTGGTTGACCAGAGATCGACCTCGAACCAATCATTTTGAAAGGCATGTAAAATATCGGGCTCAGATACAGGAGGACGATCAGTAACTTCCAGCATATCTGAGAATCAAGTATCAAAACTATTCTTTTATAGAAACATGTCTGTGATGGTTTGCCAGATAAACCAAATCATTAATCTATGTAGGTGACATGTGTGTTTGTTTTTGGCCAGGAAAAGGAAAGCTTGCGCGTTGTGTTATCGCGGAAAGTTAATGACTGCTTATTTCTTTTTAACGCTTTCTTTAAATATTAAAAATGCCATAAGTAGTGCGACTAAACCCAAACCCTAAGAATTATTACAACTCTTTCTTGAGGTAAAGTTAAGTCTTTGTTGGAAAGAAGTGGCCCACCCAGCTGAAACTTATTCCAGTGTGACGCACTGTGAGAATTTAGTTTTTTTCCAGAGGACACAACACTTTGACTCGCACGAACCATAAGCCCATCGTGTCTACCGTAACGCTTCTTTACCGATATCTATATTACCACTTCTCCCATAAATTCATGAATTCGAAATAGATTTTTCTGGGGACACGAACCCCGAATAGCGTGATAAAAAATTTTGTTGTTGGTGTAAAATTTGCAGGGACACGAGACATCAATGTGATATGGGTTCCTAAAGCGGATATGTTGTGTGGGAACATGGAGCAGAAATTGTTCCATAGACATGTTGTCCCCTACTCTGTGTCGATTTCAGATCTCCACATCAAGTAAGCCGTTTAAATTAAATGAACTCATTTGGCCAAAGTAAACTTACCTTCCGTTTTTTCTCTCCAACAAGACTTTGGAGTGAAATAAAAGATGACAAATCCCTCTACCAGTTTCTGAGCAGTGCTGTCAGAAGCTTGGTTGATAAAGCCTCTTTCCAACAATTTCTAGGTTTGAAAATAATTAGGAAATCAGCTCATCGTTGTTTGATTCCTCACTCTAGTAAAACATTCATTTAAAATGGAGCTTCCCATCTTAAGCAGACTTCATTGACCCTTTCCTGATCCATAGAAACTTTCTCCGTGATCTTTTTCTGGCCCGCCGATGGCAAAGATGCAATTTCACGGGTTGGCACGAGCCTGCGTGTGCAAAGAGGTCGATGAATAGACAAGGTAATTCTGAAGGTGTCCTCGGGTAAATGTATGATAATAGGAAACAAGACCCAATGTTTTAAAATGGTGATTCTAAATGGGATATATTTAACAGCTTTTTTTGCACCTCATACTACTGCAGACACGACGTTCCGAGAATTCTACACGATTAATAAAGAAAATTTTCAAGGATTGTTTAGGTAGGCTGGAAGAAACTGTTTGATTCCTGTAGTTTTTAGGGTATGGTATATGTACACGATGTGCCCTGATCTTTCAAATTTCATCCAGCTTTAGAGGAACTGAAACTCTACCAACACCAAAAAGAACAATGTACTGAAAAGAAAATCTTCGTCATCGTCGTTTCTTCTAACATAAAGCAATAAATGTTTCCCCACCCGACCCCCACCAGTAAACTTACACGAAGATATCACTGCTGACCTGGCAGAGTCGAGTGGCTTCTTCCTTTGCATTAATTCCTTCCACGTTGTGTAAAATCCATGAGATCGCCTCCACACTCAGAAAGCTTGTGGGTTTTAGCCCTTTGACCTCTGGTAGGAAAGTCATGCCCTTTCTGTGAAATAAAAAGACGATGGATGCCAAACTCATTTATATGGACCTATTTGAAGTTTGAAAAGCTTTTTTTTTCTCTTAACCAGAGAAAAGTGAGAGAAATTCAAGTTGTGTAAGTCAGAACTGGCTCCCATGGTTGGTTAATTACATAACGATTTTATCATTTATTAGAGCTGCCTAAACAGATCGGTAAATTCTTTAATGATATTCACTATTCTGTCGTAAATAGTGTAACTTGGTTCTTTCTCGAAGAGGGTCCACGCAGTAATAAACAGTGTAGCAGCGTCAGCTCTGGTGGCGGAGAGAACCGTTAAACTATAGACTGAGTGACTCACTGGTTCCATAAGGAAGATTAATTGAGTAAACTCTTACAGTGTACCTGTATAGGAAAGCGTGTAAGCGAACGCTCAGGGTTGGTTCCGAGTATTACCGCAATATCTGGCGGTTCCCGTTGAATTTCTATGAGCCTTAAGGGTTTTTAGGCGTGTTTGCGATATTTAACCTAACGTCATGTGGTACCTAGTGAAAACTATTGTGACGTATATGCCGTTCTGTTGAAAAATGAAATATCTAAGATTCTGCAAAATGAGGAAAGAAGCACTCTGGTGTCATGTCATACAGATTTAGCCAAGCCTAAAAGTGGAGCTCCAGTTGGTTTTCCTCGCTGGCTGTTCAAGAGTTAATTCAAGGGAATTTAGGGANATAGCATCCATCACTACACTTACTTACCCCGGTAACTCTCGAGAGGGACTGGCATGAGAATCTGCACTTCCAAGTTCGTCTCCTATTCCCGAGGAAGACCGCGATCTGTTGGTCAGCGGACTACTGGGAACAGAGCTGTTTTCTCTTGATACTGTCAACTCACAAGAAATGGGTCGGGATACTTTATGCTCCTGCTGTTTACTAATTCGACGAGTTGGTAAAGACACATCGGATTGTTTTCGATCCTAAAGAGGTGTTGGAGGAAATAGAAAATTAAAGGACCAGTGTGACAAGGTTTAACAGGATCCTTTGAGAAAAAAACAAGGCAGAAACTTAACCTTTTACACCCTAACATCAATATGCATATTCTCCATACCGCTCTCTCTACATTTACTAAGGTGTTGACAAGGAGAACTTATCAGTGATTAACAATCAAGACATTCTTTAGTTAATGATTGTCTCCATTATTCTCGTAACTTTAGTATGTGATTCGGGGGGGGGGGGGAAATGTAACGAGAAATTAGATGCTAGTCACTCCTAGGGAGCCAAAGGGCCAAACAACTGATTTACTAAACAGAGCATATTTTGATTGAGTGTTGTAAAACCGACACTACAGAAATCACAAGGGCCACTATTAAAAAAAAGGGAATCAGAGTGAGTTGAAAGGAACCCCAGAGGTATCTCTTTATACAGGCCACATGAGTATGCACCGCCCCCCGCCCCCCCGTGTGGTTTTTGAGTCGTTTTGGTCTGAAAACAGACATGGATTTTGACCACTATGCTCTTAGATCTGACTTATTATCTCTCACTACGAGGTCACAAAGTCACGAAAGACGCTCATGGAAGAAAATGAGTAGAAAAAAGGAAACCAAAGCACAGGTGTTGTAAAGTATTAATACATGCCTTTTAACCATAAGAGTTGTCTTTTTCGCAGTCGTTGTCTAGTGTTGGAGTGAGTGCATCACCTGTCTCATGTCTCCTTTGGTTAGGGAGAGAGCGCGTTTTATTTTTTTTTAATGGTTAAACAACGGCTGTGAACGAGACTATCATGACAGCTGATGAAATTTACCTTAGGATTTGTTAGAGTTTTTTGCGTTTGATGACGTTTTATTCGATTAAGCACCTCAAGGAACCTGACAATTCCATCCATTGCGTCGGCCTGTTGAGTTGACGTTTTCTTCTTTTCTTCACGACCTGATTCTTTGATTTGACGCTGAGACAATGGCGAAAATGGCAATAGCAGGAATCGAGCTTTCCAGTAATGAAGACTCTAGAAAAAAAAAATGAAAGACCCTCAGAGGATAGACAAAAACCAAAAAAAGAAACTTAAAATAGATAACGTTTGACGCCAGATCCGGGAGGTAAGCGAAAGTCCAAGCGAATCGGCTAGAAGATGCCAACTATTATATTCTTAGATCACTACTAGGTTATCGCAAGTCTACCCTTTATGATGAATTGCTGCGAATCTTGAATATGGAAACGCTAGACCAGAGAAGGAAACAACAATCCCTTATTCTGTTATATAAATGTTTGCATAACGACGGTCCCAAATATATCACAGATTTTTTTAGTTTTAGGGAAACTATGTACAATCTGAGAGGAACCGGCATTAATTTGTACGCACCTAAATTTAATTTAAATTTTAGGAAAAAATCTCTCACTTATATGTGTGGGCAGCTTTGGAATGGATTACCTACAAGTGTAAAACTGGCCAATAATATCAACCTTTTTAAGAAGCTATTGAGAACATTGAAACTTTAGCTGCTTCTCCATTTTATACTTGTATTTAAGTGACTCTCAATTTCATTGTACAAACTTAATTTTTAATCTTAATTTTAAATTATTTAAGCTATTGCTTCACCATTTTATACCTGTATTTAAGTGACTTTGAATTTTACTGTACAAACTTAAATTTTAATATTAATTGTTAGTTATTTCTATTTCTAATCAATTAGGTCTTGACAGTATGTATTAGGTTTTTTAGATTCTTAATCTTAGAGGCACGTACGTATTTTGAACGAGCTCTATGAGCTCCTTGACGCTACGTGGGTAAATAAAGTATTGATTGATTGATTGA